GATGGAATGAAGCCTGCGACACGCTGGCGGAGGAGGACAATAATGGCATTTTAAGTCCACGTATATACCAAGGGGATGTGATAATTACACATCATTATACCACTTCTAATGAAAGCATTGTTTAAATTAGATTGCAGAACCAAAAAAAAAACTGGTGCAATTGCAAGAGATAAGGTTGAAAATAATTTAGAGCGGATTTAGGAAGGGCCTGAATGCCATCCAAAGGATTTGGCATTTTACGTGATAGGACACATTATGTCTGAAATACATTCCCCATAGGCCAGCCTGTGATCTCCTGGTGGAGAGGTGATGCCTGTGTGGACAGCTGCATGATTCAAGTCCTCTACCTGGTGGCTTAGCAACACTGGGGGCGGGACCAGCAGATGGAGTAACGCTTATGTTGCTGGACTCCCACGTAGTCTGCTGAGGTTCGAGTCCCAGACCCTGCAACTTAAATTCAGGTCGGGTGTGTGTGCGTGCAGTCCCAAGATCCTGAGAAGAGAATGGAGAAGAGATTGTGGCATGGCCATACACACACACGCACACACCCCGCCTGGGGATGATTTCTTGCTTTCTGTCTCTCTGGCAAGTGCACACGCCCTATAGGAAAAATTTATCTAAAATAAAACCAAAAAAACAAAAGAAAACAAAAAACCAGGTGCGTGTGTGTGCAGCCCAAATCCTGAAAGGGCAAAATGGAGAAGGGAATGCAGTGTGACCACGCTCCATGGAGGGTGCTTCTTCCTCCCCGCCTCTCTGGAGAGTGCATGTGCCCTCTGGAAAATTAGGAAAAAAAGAAAGAAAAGAAGAAAAAGAGGAAAGAAAAGGAAGGAAGGAAGGAAGAGAGAGAAATAAGACGGAAAGAGAAGATGTCCCACACAGCTTGTGGCAAAGGGTGGCAGCGTGTCTCGAGCAAGCTCAGTTACAGGCAGGTCCAGGCTGACTCACTGCAGGCGCGAGTGTGTGAATACGCGTCGTGATTCTCTGAGAGGAAGAGCTGTATATGGGTGTTGTTGCTTTGTTTTCTTTTCTTCCTTCCTTTCCTTTTTCTTAGAGGCAAGCTCTTGTTAAGCAGCCTAGGCTGGCCTTAAACTCATGACCCTCCTGCTGTCGTTTCCCAAACAGCTGGGGTTGGGGGAGCGGACCACCACAGCCAGCGGGTGGGCTGTCTTCTCAGGCCGCCAGTGTAACACGGTGGGGAGTGTATGGTGAGTCGTAGCAGTCCAGCACGGCGCCCCAGTCAGGTAACTGCCATTCTGCACGCACGCCGGCTCCGGGTGTCAGCTGGCGCAGAGCAGGGCAGGGGAGCGTGTGGAGTGGGTGCAGCATCTGAGCCTCACTCCCGCACTCACGCCTGGGAGAGCAGCAGTGCCAGTTTAAAGCATCACAGAGTGGGAGAGGGGTCATCGCAGACCTTTCCGTGACCAACCACTATTTATAAAATCCAACTCAAATGGAAGCAGACTTTCAAATGAAAAGAAAAACAATGAAGGATGGGAGGGGAACACCAAGACCATTCATTACTGACTGGCTAAGTCATCACGGCTTCATCTTGGAAAGCTCCTTTGTAAAGGTCACGATCACACCAACCTTAACAGGCTGCGATCTGCCCCGCACAGTCACTGGCACCCAGTCATGGGAGACGCGACGTTGCGGATGAAAGCAGAGCTGGGAGCTCGGCTGCCCAGGTTCGAATCTCAGCTACGGCTCTCACCGGATGAGAGATCGGTACGGTGTGACCTGAGGAAATGTAGGTCACTTCTTCTGCCTCAGCTTTCCCATTCTCATCTCAGAGGGCGTGGTGATGATTAGAAATGAAATAATAAATGCTGGATATTAAGAAAAGGTACTTGCTGTTGTTGTTATTGCAAATTTTCTATGTCTCAGAAGAAAGCTGAGGATTTCCTTCTTCCTCTTAAACTGGGTGCTCACAGCTCATTTTTAAAGAGCACCCTCCCACCAAGTTCAGCCACTGTGGCAGGCTTCCTGTTCTCTCTCTCTCTCTATATATATATATGTGTGTGTGTGTGTGTGTGTGTGTGTGTGTGTGTGTGTATAATGTAATTTTTTAAATTAAACACCCGCCAGTGCTCTGTGGCTCAGACACGAGTCGGCTAGTGTTACCAGCTGGTTTTTACTTGGACTTTCTTCTCTCTGGATCACCTCCACATTTTCCCCATTGAATTAGTGGGCAGTTAAAATATAGAGGCATTCTTACATCTAGAATTTGGAAAGGAATAGAAGGAAAATTAGAAACAAGAGTCAGACTGCCGTCACAGGGGTGTGTGATGAAGTAAGGGAGCCCCCCCACGTGACACCCTATGGTACAGAGCGGCCGTCAGTCACCATGGCCCACGAGAGCCACTGCATCGCTACGCTGACTGTTGAAGAGCGCTACCATATGGGGCCACTCCCAGGTTCTTCCTATAACATTATTTTGGTTGTATCCTCTGTCCAGTTCGATGCACTTTCCCCTAAATCACTTGACTGTTTACACAGAATTTCCCAGCCTGGTCAGTGAGGCCTCAGGAGACCAGGAAAGGTTGTTAAGGACTTCCCAACAATTGCCCAAACTCTGGCCTTGACTTCAGTGAGATTCTGTGCCCAGACGAGTTGAAAGAGAAGGAACCAGAAAGGCACTGTTTGGCCCAACATCAGTGATAGAGTAAGTTTTCACCCTGTTTTACATAGATCAGCAAAATCTATCAAAGAAGTTGAGGCTGACTGAATGTTCAGAAATAAACGGTCTACATTTGACCCATTTATAATTCGTACTTCCTTCTCAGGACAGTCTAAAGATGAGCGAGCTTTTTAGATGACCCAGGTGGTCACATTGTCTGGCTGCTCAGTGGCTTTGCTTATTTTTAATCCAAAGCAGAAATTTAAGAGCACTTTTTACATGAATATACCAGAAGAGGTTACCAACCACCGAATTAAGTATCGAATACAAAATAGCGTGTGGATGAAGAGCCTTCCTGTGCTCAGCGGGTAAGAGTGAAAGGGTGCTATGATTAGTGATGTTCCACTTAGCATTCTAAGAATCATTCTAGAGAGCCTTTCATAAAATGTGGCATGTGCGAATGTGTACAACGTCGCTCGCACAGGTCTAGCCAACCCAACACCGTGTAGTGACCTTTAAGTGGCAGGCTGCCCCTACGACCGATGGCTGCAATCAGAGATTTCCAGCAGCAAGGTCAGAGAGAAGGAAAATCCATGCATAATAAAAAGGCCATCGAGCTCTAAATGTAAGACTCTCTTTGACACTGAGAGTCTCTTCTCTCCCTCAGGAAAACCTTTTTTATTTTAAAGAATTTTTAAAATTTATCTTTATTTACTTATTTATTTAAATTTGTCCAGAGAGGGACAGAGAGAGAAAGTGAGAAAGGAAGCTGCCAGGTCTGGGACTCGAACCACAGTTGGCCATGTGGGAGCTCAGCACCCTTAACCCCCACACCATGACCTGCTGGCCCCAGGAAAATCTCTTACACTTACTGTTTAATGCCCTAGTATAAGAAATAAAGGCATACCGAGTTAACTTTAAATTTATATTCCACTTGTTTGCTTTCATTGTTGCTCTAATGTGAAATGTGTATTGAACAATATGAACTTACACAAACGCAGATACAGGACAGCCTCATCTACCAACACAGCAAGGAGGCCTTTCATTACTCTGAGCCAGAAGACAGTTATAAATATAATTTTCAAAACACTTTCAACAATCCTTTAAGTTTCTTTGCAAGGAGCATTCACTGAAGGAACAAAGACCCTAGAACCAACGAAATCCGTCGCTGCCTTAGTCTGTCCCAGTGGGGAAGGCACACGCTGGATTTCGCCCAGGACTACAGCGGTCCACTGGCAAGAAAAAGGCCGTCTGACATTGTGCCGAATGACAATGTTCTCAAGGAACTACCTGAAATCACATTCCTGGGTCAACTCATTTCTCTCTCCTAGAGCTCCACTCCTGTCCTAGTCAGCTCTGTGTCTAAGGACCGTGACGTGGATTTGAACAGACCTATGGTCCAACCCACATGCTGCACAGTCTACTCCTCTCTGTGAAGTGCCAGGAACCCTCCTTTAACTAGCATGAGTTGACTCTTTCTAAATCCCTACTATAACTAGTAAAATGTGGTCACCCTCAGTAAACTAAACGCTGGACGTCATTTTTAAAAACCAATCAACGAATCCCATTCATATTCCTATGCTGGCCAAATAGCCTGCCCCTAACAGTCCTCTCATCCTCAGAGACAAAATAAAACCATGCTTCAACCAGACTTGCATTTCCTAACAGCCAGCAATTCATAAGAATGGTACAAGGGGTCCTAGGAATGTGCATTATGAAAAGCTATGCTGGGGCCGGCAGGTGGTGTGGTGGTTAGGGGCACTGGACTCCCACAGGGCCGGCCTCGGTTTGAATCCCCTGGGATCTGGTGGCTTGCTTTTTCACTTTCCTCTCTTGGCTCTCTCATTCTGTCCCTCTCTGGTCAACTTAAATAAATAAATAAAGCTAAATAAAATAATTAAAAAAAAAAAAACTACGGGAGATTGCATAATTTTTTTGCACCAAAATAAACTTGTAATTTAATTCCGTTTTCCACAAACTTTCTGAAGTTCACATAATTCTAGATTTAAAAACTCATTACAGAATCTCAGTTGTATCTTAATTGGATATCAAGTTTCTAATAAAATTAGAAAATACCACTTGGGTTCTTTCAACAGTTGTAGTCTTATCTACTCCATTCACTCACTCTGGTTTTTCTTTCTTTCTTTTTTTTTTTTTTAAGAGTTTGACTTGTTCTTTTTTTTATTTGTTGGAGGTCATGTGTGCTCTCTGGAAACAGACAGAAAGAGAGGGAGAGTGGGAAAGCATTCCCCACAGAGGATGGCCATGCTGCAACCACCTCTCCACTTCTCCTTTCATGATGTTGAACACACACGTACATGCACCAGGTGTTTTCAAGCTGTCAGGTCCAGGACTCGAACCATTCAGTCGATCATGTGGGATCCAGCTGCCTTAACCACCATGCCACAGGCTGACCCTCTGCATGCAACAGGGCCTTTGAAAACCTTCTGAGTAACATGGAATACTTTATTCTTCACTTAGCGTGAAGCAAATTTGTTTATGATTTTGAAAAGTTTTCTTTAACACTTATTTTTCTCTCCCATCTCTTTCCCCCCCTAGCACTAAGTAGAAGCATCATCTTGGAAACAAAATAACTTATCACATATTTCAAAACACATCCTGGCAACAGAAGTACCTGTTACTTTGCACACAGATATAAATTATAACCTGAGAACCAGAAATTACTCCTTTACTTTATAAAAATACTGTTCCTTAAAGTTATATTTAACAGCAGAATCTTTTAAAATTTCCAAACACACTTTTTAAATAATCCTATAAGTTTCTTCTAACGTAGCAGTCACTGGAGGAGTAAGAACCTAAAACCATGAAATCCATCACTATTTCAGTCTGTTTCAATGGGGAAAACACAAATTGGATTTCTGTCCAGGAAAATGATATCCATGTATTCTTACAAGAAGTTCATCTTTCATAGGAAGAAAATATCGAAACTGTACTACGTATAGTTTCTAAAGCTTCTTCGGATCTTTTGCATGAATATTTAACCAAAAAGGCTCTTTGTCAAATGCACTAGGTGCCAGGTACTCTGTTACTCAAAGATTTAAAAAGATGGAATTCATGATGGGAAAATTCGTTTCGTATGCTGTAAGGATACACAGTAATTGAATGTAAAAAAAAAAAAAGTAAAAATAAAATACAAAAAGAAAAGATTTTAAAAGATGACCAGTTCATAGTCCCAATAGACTAAAACATACAGGGATTTTAGGAATAACACTGGATGTAAACTGAAGCGATGCCATAAAACCAGTGCAGAGAACCTTCTGGAGCTGCCCGCCAAGGCCCAGTCAATCACGGTTGACCTTCTTCTCCGCGATGACACACCAGTTGCCATGATCGTTGGCAGAGCTGACGACGTGAAGGTCAGACACGTTCTCCTTTAACAGGCCGCAGAGCTCGCCTTCTCGAAACACGTGGTAGTAACGCATGAAGACCCTGGGGTCCGCGGTGTCCTGCTGCTCTCCGACAGACGCGGCGTGGTCCGTGCCGGACCCTGCGGGACTGGAGGCACACACACTTCGGAATGTTCTCCTGGCCGCGGGGCCACCTCCTCCTGAGTGCCCTGCATCCTCACAGTCCTCGGCGTCATCGCTACCCAGAAAACCCCCACTTCCCTTCCTCCTCACTATTCGCTGACAGTCTCCGTTGAAATGTGTCACGGTGCTTTCTACTTTCAGCCACCCCAGAGACTGAGGAGACGTCTCCATGAACACCTCCTCGTCGAAGCTTCCCTCTCTGGTGGAAAACGGCTCTTGGTGATCGGAGCCTAACCGAGAGTGTCTGGCAGGCTGCACTGACACCGTGCTATTGGCCCAGACTTCGGGGTTTTTCATGGGTCTCGCTCTTTCCGTTTGCTTCCTCAGGGTTGATTCATCCAAAGATCTGGAGAAAAACCAGGAACGAAAAGATTTTCCTATGGCATGGTAGAATCCGTTTTCTTCCTCACCTTCCTTAGAAATACTCGCACAGCAGGTCCCAGGCCCGGCAGGTGCACAGTCCACACTGTGGGACCGTGTGGAGCTACGTCGCTCTTTGAAGCAAACAGAACAGCCACCGTCAGAGCAAAGGGGGTCGCACGGATGCCCACACGGCCTCCCCGTCCTGGACGGGCTGGATTCTGAGCAGAGCTGGGAACACAAGGCCCTGTTCCACGGGACGAGCACATCTTGCTTCTCAAAGTGACGATTCTTTTGTTCCATGGCCCACACGTAGATCATCAGCTGGCCTCCAGGAACTAAGACCCTGGCCATTTCTTTGATGGCTCTAATTCTTCTTTGTTTTGTAGAAAAATGATGGATAACTGCAAAAGAAGGAATGCAATCTTAATGTGCACATGCATCCGTAAACATACGCGTTTAGAGACAACGGTGCCGTCTGGAGAGACAGTAACATTTCTTTACTTCCTATGTGGCAGAGGCTTAGTTCTGAGGCAGACATAATTTTTAGTTTTGGTTCTTGTAGAAAAAGCATGGGCTTAGTTCTGAGAGAGAGAATTTTTTAGCTCGGGTTCTTGTACTTACCAGGCAGCTGATCTTGGACGTTATTTAAGTGCTGAAGTTCTTCTTTCCAGTTAAAGTAGAGTGTACATGTGTATGGGGGCGGGGGAGTTGAAGCAGCCTGTACAGGGCTCAGTCGTGCCCTGATCCTCTTCCTACAGCCCTCCAGCCTGCCAAAATCTAGGCCCAGGTGCCCAGCGTGTTTTCAGGCTCAACAAGCCGAGACAGGGATTCAAACATGGTACACACGTGGCTTCCAGCTCTCCAGTCCAGTACACTACTGACTATTCCACAGAGGAGGCTAGGTCATAAGTTCTACAGATATATATTTTTTAATCTCCAGAAGGCACATGTGCACACCAGAGAGAAGAGATGGAGAGACGGAGAGGGAGAAAGAGGAGGAGAGAACTCTCCCCAGTGGGGTGTGGTCAGGCTGCAATCCCTTCATCCCTTTCTACCATCCAGTAAGGATTTGGGGCACACTTGCACATGAGCCCAGGATGTTTCTGAAGTCACTGGAGCTGGGACTCTAATCGCAGTCAGCCATGTGGAATCTGGCTTCCTTAACCACTAGGCCACACTGCCATCCAAGTTCTACAGCTTTTTAGTTTCTTCATCTATTATGAGACGTCCAGAATAAATAATTCTCTGAGATCTCTTCCAGTGCCAAAATCCTGTGACTTTTGTTAACCAGAAGGATGACAGGAGTGAATTATTACAATCTGAAAAGGAGACCCAATTAGGTAAGTCCTCCTTGATAGAACCCTGCGAAACCATCCACTGCCTTAGTAACTGGCATTTCTAGGGGTCAGCCAGTGGCACGAAGGTGGAATGTGACACTCTCGGGGCTGACACATATGGCGAGGTTCCAGACTCAAGTCTACTGACACCCCTGAGTACACTGGGCACGTGTGCTCACGACACGTGGGGCTGCCTACAGCTTGGGGTGGGTTATAGTATGAAGGTTTCGCTGGGGAGCCAGCTCTGTGGTGCAGCCTAATGAGTTGATCAAAAGAAGCTAGATCCCACATCGGGGTCACAACCTGAATCCTGGCCTGGACAGCCTGAAAACTGCTGGGCATGTGCACGAGTGCCCGGATCTGACAGGCTGAAGGCCGGGAGGACGGGGACTGTGGGATGACCTGGCCCTCCTGAGGGTGCTTCTCTCGCTCGCTTGCTCTCCCTCTCTCCCCCTCTCTGACGTGCGTGTGTATGTACTTTTCTATGAATAAAGTAGGAAAGAAAAACAAGGCCCTGTTGGGGATGCTTCATTTCTCTCACTCGTGTAGGAAATACGTGAATGAACTTTTAAAAATAATTGCTACTGATCAGCATTAATAAAATTGACAGAGCACATAGTCGTAGAGAAAAAGAGCTAAAGATTATGTTTCTGTTCAGATCATTTAAAGATAAGCCAGCTCAACACAAATCTACATGATTGTTTCCATTTATTTTAAAATGTTAATATGATGAAAATGGTTGTCTATTTTTTTAAAAAAATCATTTTATAGGCCATTACTTTTAATCCTTGCAGAATCAGAGTGAGAGTCACACAAGATTGCTCTATTTAATCACAAATGGGTTAAGTGTATTTTTATTCAACAATATACAGGAAGTGCTAGTCTGTTATTTCCAGGGGGAGTTTCACAGTAGTGTGTCAAGAGAGAACAAGTTATTTTCCACGCAAGGCCTGCCACATACCTCAGGGAGGAAATCAGAGGGCAGGAACTGAGCGCTTCCTGCTGGGACGGTCTACAGTCCCGTCTGAGCTAAGAGGGCAAAGAGAGCGCAGCTCCGTCTAGTGCTCTTACGCTTCCGGGACTCCTCGAGCCTTAGTGTCCGCCCTCACTGCGCCCGATTCCCTCTAAGACTCCCGTGGGCGCATTTCTCAATACCGGCCTTCCTCGGTGTTCATGAATTTTGTATTTGCAAATTTGTCCACTCACTGAAATGTACAAGTAACTCACGCCGACACCCCAGGTTTTGTGACCCTTTGCAGACACATGCACCCCAGCAGTTCGACCCGCCAGTACACGCCTCCCCACTGAGGCAAGACGGGCACTCTCTTCTTTCTTATTTCAACGCCAATACTATAGGCAAGCATCCTTTTCACGTTTATTGAGTGTCAGGCCTTTTGCATTTCTCTGTTTCTGTTGGTGACTGCACTGGCTAACGTGGCCTCAAGCCTCGCACTGACACGGTGCCTAGCGTTCCTTGGGGTCTCACAGGACCGGCAGGAGTTAGATGAGGGCCCTTCAGCGTGAGTTAGCGGGCTGTTGGCATGGGCTGAAAAGGACACAGGTGTCTTTAAGCAGAAATACACATAAAAAAAAGGTTAAATATTGACTAGTCAGCTAAGATGAGACCAGGGGCTCACGGGAACAAGATCCTGTATTCCTTTCAGGGTCTTACTCCACTGAACTCACTAACACAGCGCTCACAGAGCTCCACAGAGCCTGACCACTGCGGATTTTGATAACCGACTGTATTTATTTTGGTGGTCCAAAAATGAAGAAAAACACATTAAAATCATTTTAATACAATAGCCTCTTTTCAGTAGACTCATAGGTATTTAACATTTCTAGATTCTACCTGGCTTCAAAAGAAGTTTTAAAAAGTTTTTTTAAAGGACGTTTCCTTCCTACAAAAGGAAATTTTTTAATTTATTCACTCATTAGTAATCATTCATTTCCAATCACCTAAAATACCATAATTTCACCAAGGAAATATCCAAATGCTCTATTTATTTATGTCAGAAAAAAACTCGGGTTTATTGGCAGTCAAAATCGTGTTCTGAAAAGCCCACATTAACGCACAGTTCGTGTCTCTGCAGTCCCCGCGTTTGCGGGACCCAGTCCCCGACCAGCATGCATGGGGCTCCCACGTGTTCACAGCTCCATGTCTGAAGCCCCCTCCCAAGGGCACCCGCCCCAAATGTTTTAAAATTATATTTTATATTGATATTTAAAAATAGTAAGTAGCACTCTCGAATCTAAATGTTTCTGGAACATTTACAAATGAAGATTTCTTCCTTACCTATGAGTTACACATCATATACATATTCATTCTAATAAAAAGTATTGTTAATGTACTTCTAATGGGATGGATGGATATATTCTATGAAATAGTGATGCTAGAAAATTCAACTATGTTGAATTTTTTTTTTTTTTGAGAGGTTTTTCGCTATAGGGTGCATGCACTTGCCACAAAAAGACAGAAAGACAGAAAGTCAGAAATCACTCCCCCGGAGGGGATGGCCACGCCGCAATCCCTTCTCTTCCATTCTCCTCTTGGGATCTTGGGCACGCACGCACACGTGCCTGGCGTGAGTTTAAGCCACTGGGTCTGGGACTCGAACCACGGTCAACTACATGGGAGTCCAGCGACATAGCCATTACGCTAACTGCTGGTCCCACTATGTTGAGGTTTTTTAAACATGAAAGAGTTTCCTTTGTTTAAAAGATCATAATCACAACTTAAAGGCGAACACATTACTCAACACTTGTATCCCACAGCAATATTGTCTTGCCAAGAGCCTAGAAAACAGGTTGAATTCAGTTACCGGAATCAGATGACAATTGGCACAAGATCATTTTAAAGTTCTCTTACATCTTTAGAGTTTGTGATGTATTGTTATTTAACTTTTCAAGAGTAAATGTCTCATCTCTCTCACCATGAACATTTGGAATCTATGGGTTTAGCATAAAGCAGGGGTTTCTCGACCTCAGCACTGCCGACATTTTGGGCTACATAGCTGTTTGCTGTGGAAGGCACTCATCAGACGACATTAGCATACACACTCCTACTTATGAAAAGACTCTGTCCAGACCTTGCCGATGCCCCTTTGTAGATGGGGAAGAAGCAGCATAACCCCTAGTTGAGAACCACTGACACAAAGTATGTCATTGGTTGCCATGATTTTTTTAAAGAACTACTTATTTATTTAATTTTATTTGTTGTTATTATTTTTTAATTTGACCAAGAGAGAGGCAGAAAGAGAGAGAAAGCTGAAGTGAGAAAGCAAGCCGCCAGGTCTGGGACTTGAACCACGGCTGGCCATGTGGAAGGCCAGTGCCTTAACCACCATACCACCTGCCCATCCCAGACATTATTTTAACATGTTGCCAAATATTTCTAGAATTTTTGTCAGACTATTCTAAAGGTAAGCAGAAGAATGTTTCTTTTTCTGTCAGTAAAGCATAATGAGTGTATAATTAGGAATAATGATTATTTTTCACATCATTGTTAACAGACATGGAAATGCGAATTATGTATCTCTTCGTGTTAAGGCAAGCAGAGGCAACAAGTACAATTCTAAATAGAAGTAAAGGCCTACGGGCCTACGAGAGAGAGTCTTTTGAAATTTTTCACAATACAGTTCTAAATGGCAAACCCAACTGAAAATGACTGGATTGCATTAATTCCTAGTCACCGTTCAGGAAAACACTAGCTGTTGTCCACCCAAGGAGGCGTTTTTAATTAGAAGATGGTAACCAGGTATGCTCCATTTTCTCCCAGGGCGAGGCATGAGACTTAAACTAAAAATGAGAAGGATTTAACCAGGTATACACAAAGCATTTCCCAGAGGTAGGAATGCTGGTCCGTATCCCCACAACAGTGGCTCAGTGGCATGGTCTGGACAGGGGGAGCCTTGCAGGGCCTAAACTCATGAGATGGGAGAACAAAGAGGACCTGCCCTTCTCTGGCTTTCCAGTCCATTAGGTGGAACGACCGAACCCAGACGTTTTGCAGAGAAGATTCAGAGCATCGTACAGCACTGCTTACAACAGAAGAATCCCTCTTTGTTGTGCATTGAATGTCTGTGTCCCACAACACTGCTTTGTGAAGCCCTGGCCCCCAGTGGGATGGTATTAGGGCGTGAGAACTTTGGGAGGTGACTGGAAGCTGAGATAAAGTCATGAGAGTGGGTTCCCATGGTGGGATTAAAGAGACCAGAGAATTTCTCTGTCTTTCTCTCTCTCTCTCTCCCCCTCCTCTCCCTGTCACGGTCAAGAGGAAGGAGGCAGCTGTCTGCAGGCCAGGAGCGGAGCCCTCACCAGAACCCGATACTGCTGGAATCCTGATCTCCAGCTCTCAACCTCCAGGGCTATGAGAAATAAACGCCTGTATTTTAAGCCACCAACAGGTCCCTGTTAGTGAAGTGCGCTATTACGGCGTGAAAAAGGTGCTGTCTCCAAAAACTCTACTTCCTGCTGGAAGACCTGGTATTTGAGTATCTGAGGTATTTTGTTACAGTAGCCCGAGCAAAATAAGATATTCCTCATAATTCTTACAACCAAAGTGGACCTAACAGTTTTAAAGGAAAAGAAGTAAGATTGTCATAGAACCGGTTCCCATGGCAACTACCTCTTGCCAGTCCTAACTAGCCTCAAGGTCAGGGCATCCAGGTCTGCAGATTCTCACTATGCAGAGATACACTCCTCATCTAATACTGAATAAACTGATCTCTACTTCAGGAGAGAGCTAATAGTCTTATTCTGTATTTCTATCATGAATAGCAGGTTTTATGTAAGACCATCTTGTATTGATAAGACTTATTATACTCAAATAGATTAATTTTTGAAGTGTACCAGAGCAAGTAATTTGCTTTGCAAAAAGTTTTTTTTTTTCATTGCAAAAGAACTTGGCAAAGTAGTCTCTTAAATACCAAGTTTCCTAGCGTATTTAAATAAGACTAACATACTAGATGCCCGGAATACATGTGCTGAATAGCATGAGCCTTACCTGTGTACATTTCAGCCATGGTTTTTTTGGGGTTTTGCTCATTTTTTGGCATGTGTGTGTTCTAGCCCATTGTTGGGAGAATGTGAGAAACCCATTTCCTAGACTCATAGACAACCTCTGTCCATAAGAGAACAGAGTGGCATTGTTAAAGTGATACAGAAACTCCAGTGAGTAGCAGACGGGTACAGGTGACATTCAGTGTGTTAGACCCAGAGGTCCCTGCTAGTGAAGTCCGCTATTATGGCGTGAAAAAAATCTACTTCCTGCTGGAAAAGCTGGCCTCATTTCAAAATAATGAAGTACTATTTTCAATGAGTAAGATTCCTGCAATACTTTCTTACTCATAGTAAATGAAATGGCAGTGAATCATGCAAAAGAATATAGTTTGAAGGTTTAACTAGTTGAAACATTTATAGATATATCACAAATGCATTTGAGATCAGTCAAATAACTCAAGTAATTGAGATTTTTTTTTAAATTAGTAAACATGAATTATGCCTACTTCACTACAAAAATCGTTGACTCACGAGAGGAGCCTTAACCACGTACAGGGTGAACACGTGACGGCTGCCTTACCTCCTATGGAGATGACGGCATCGAAGCCCTGATCCCTAAAGGGGAGATTAAGGTTGTCACATACCATGACTTCACATCCTCTATTCCGGGCAATCTCAACCAATGGCCCACAGTAGTCGCAACCCAGGGTGTGTACCTGGCTGTTCACTTTGAGATACTTTCCAGTCCCACAGCCTAGAAGAGAAAAATCCATTACATGCGAGGCTTCATAGAAAGTGGAAAACAGTCAGTTTGTTCATTTTATAAGAAGAAATACAAATAACTTGATATTAACTAAGCAAGACAGAATACAACATGGTGTGACAGTATTCACAAAAACAGAAGAAAATTTAAAGGAAGGCTTCAGAGACTACTTATGTATTTTAACATAGAGTAGAAGAAGGAAAAGGAATGGAAAATAGAACTATTCATCAACTATTTAAAGAAGGAAAGTCCACAGCACTGAGTATGCTAGTCTACCCAAAACATGTGAGCTGGCCCACGGCGGGAGGACAGACAGTTTCAGGACCCAGGGGCAGGCAGTGGGCGGTCTCTTTTCCTGCACGTATGCATTTCATTGTATCTGTGCATATGTATGTACAAATGGGCTTTGAAAAGTACATGGAAAAGGTCTATTATAATACAACTGTGGGCCAAACCACAGCTTGGTGGTTAAGGCAGCTCAGTTCCACATGACCAACAGTCCGAGTTCTGGACCCAGCAGCTTGAGAAACACAGTGAATGTGTGTGTATGCATGTCCAAAGTCCCCAAAAAAGGAGGAGAAGGGATTGTGGCATGACCATCCCCCATGGGGGGGTGCTTTCTCACTTTCTTGCTCTCTCTCGCTCTCTCTGTCTCTCTCTCTCTGGCAATACATGCACTCTCTGGCAAAAGAAAAAAATTAAGAAAAAAGAAAAGCTATGCATAAGTTTCAAAAAAAATTTGCATCAAACTAAATTCATATTTTAATTCCATTTTCCCATGAACTTTTGGAAGTTTCCATCCCCTGGAATGTTGAGTTTTTATTCTCATGTTATCTTTCCAACCATTCTTACCACTCACTGACTATATAAAACTACTGTGAAAAACCCTTCAACAGATACAAATAAAATAATTTACACAATAAAACATGCCTTATAAAGTTTCAAATTTGAATTGAAAACAATTTTTTTTTGAGAGATTTTCACTGTAGGGCACGTGCGCTCGCCAGACAGACAGAGAGAGACATAGAGACAGAAAGCGAGAAATCACCCCCCAAGGGGGATGGTCACGCCGCAATCCCTTCTCCATTCTCCTCTCGGGATCTTGGGCACGCACGCACACGCGCCCGGCGTGAGCTTTAAGCCACCAGGTCCGGGACACGAACCACGGTCGACTACGTGGGAGTCCAGCGACATAGCCATTACGCTAACTGCTGGTTCCCGAATTGAAAACAATTTTTTAACATGTTTTTATCCAATTATTGTTAGTGCTAGGTTCCAAATGATTTCTATTGACTTAGCACACAACTCTGACGAAGAACTATTTTTTTCTCAATATATCAGTTTTTTTAAACAATTATTTTAATTGTATTTATATATTTATTTTTATTTTAATTTGACCTGAGAGAGAGAAAGTGAGAGAGCAAGTTGCCAGATCTGGGACTCAAACCGTGGTCAGCCATGTGGGAGTGTCCAGTGCCTTAACCACCATGCCACCTGCTGGTCCCCCAGTATACCAGTTTTGACATTCACTTTCCAGTGGCAGGATCCCAAATAATTCAGGATTTACAGAGCTCAAAGATTTTTGATAATTAGATCTTGTTGCTATCATGATGAAGGTAGTAATATGAATGGAAACCATCTTGAATCAAAGCCTACTGGTATCTAGTATTATTTAATACATGTGTTCTATCACACAAATACAAGGAGACTTTACAAAGCTTGTTGTGGGCTGGCCCTGTAGCACAGTGATTAGGGAGGCTGGATTCCACATGGTTGACTGTGGTTTGAATTCCAGCCTTGGCCCTGGTGGCTTGAAAGAGCATGCTGGGTGCATGTGCACACATGACTAAGGTCCCAACACTATGGAGCGATGGAGAAGGGACTGCAGCATGGCCACATAGGGGATGCTTTTTGTCTCTCTCTGGTAGGTACGCATGTACTCTGACAATTAGAAATAAATTTTATGGAAAAGTGGAATTAATCTATCAGTTTACTTTGATGCAAAGATTTTGAGATACATGCATAGCTATTTCGTAATATGCATTTTCTTTTTGAAAATACCCATGAACTTTTGGAAAATATTTTATTGCACACCTATAATCTAATTCCTTTCCAGAAATATTTTTTAAAATCATCAGAACTGATAGTCCTATCTACTGGTATTACCAACAGATTTCTCAGCATGAGAAAAATATCCATTAGGATTCAAAACCGATTAGCTTGCTATTTCTGAAATATGTCACTGCACTCTTTAAGAGACAATAAAAGCAAAATTAAGGTTGACTGATGTCAGCTGAGGCAGTAGACAGTATATGAATAAAAAATAAGATTTCCAACATTATCATTTCAACAAAGACCATTTGGGTCTTCGAAACCTTTTAGATCTGATAGCCACTATTCCTTATAATGGTTATGAGAGAAAGTATCCGCTCTTAGAAGGCAATTGTGGGTAAATGTACATTAAATTGAAATCTTGTACATTTCAAAGATGATGGTCAGACTTTAAGAAAAATAACCTTGCAAATTCATTTGCTTTTCTATTGGCCTGAGGGACACATTTGGAGGAATGAAAGGGAAAATTACTTCAAAGATACTAATAAAAGCAGAGTCACAGGCCAGGAGGGCTGGGAAGAATTGTCAGGAGGGCATTTGGTGATGTGGACAAGTGAAGAGGAACGTGAGGCCTTCTCTGATTTGAACAGCTCCTGAAATGCGCCCAGTGTCCGGCACCCTCCATCTGTAGCTTATTCACTTCAGTTTTAAGAGTAGGAGTGGAACTCCCAAATAGGATGCAATCACCCATTTTCTACATGCAGACACTGAGATGCTAAAGAGATTTTATCTAATAAGAAAATCCAGGAGATGGCTGAGCCTCGTCATCCCTTTATCTTGAATGTAAATCAGCAACGCCAACCCTGACTGAGGCAAGCTCCAGGGAGGACAATCTCTCACGCTCCCTTACAAGTTCTCATTAAAAAACCTGCAAGGGAGCGTCTGCATGTGTACATTCGCAGGAGCATCTGCATCCACACATTCTCAATTTCGTAGTCCAGGCCACACGGGGGCTCAAGAAGAGACAACTGCCTCAACCAAACACAATGCTTCAGACCATGGCAGGCAAATGTTGGCCGAAAATAACTCAGTTAATCTGAACAATTTCTTTGATGTTTGCAGAAACTACATTTTTTAAATGAGGCGTTCTTTGCCAAGACATCTAAAAAAGAAATCTTTTCCTATGGGGAAAAAAAGAATGAAAGAACATGGCCTATTTGTTTTATTTCCCATTTCATGAACATTTCTTTTTTTTTAGTGGGGGGAGAGGTTTTTGCTATAGGGCACGTGTGCTCACCGGAAAGACAGAGAGAGAGACAGACAGACAGAGAGACAGAAAGCAAGAAATCCCCCCCCGGGGGTGATGCCCATGCCGCAATCCCTTCTCCTCCATTCCCCTCTTGGGATCTTGGCCACACACACACACATGCACCCGGTGTGAGTTTAAGCCACCGGGTCTGGGACTTGAACTGCGGTCGACTACATGGGAGTCCAGTGACATAGCCATTACGCTAACTGCTGGTCTCATATCCATTTATTGCAGCCAGAGATGAGAAAATGAGTTATCCTGCAGGCCTGGTGCCTGCCACATAGTAGGGGCTGTGAATTTTTATAGTCTACATAAAGGAGTGATCATTAGAGAATGATTTAGCCAATTATATCTGGACATTGAGAGAGAACACACACATTGAGAGTTAAGAGACTAGTGAAATCTTAATTATGGAAAAGTTAAATTTTATTATGTACAGAAAAATAACATTTTCAATGCTAATAGGACAATTGTCTCTGACATCAAGGAAAAAGAGTATCTTGTTCAAGAATTGAGCTGTTTCTTTCTTTATTCATGACAGAGCTCGTGCAAGCTCACACGAGAGAGTAAAAATGGAAGACACAAGCACCCCAGGCTCTGGTCTTGCCATGAAACCCCTCCTGCAGTCTCCAGCCCATCGTGTTCGTGTGTCAGGCTGACAGTGGGGGTTGAGCCCGGGCTGTCACGTGGAATCTGGCTTCTCTGAGCAGCACAGTGCTCCTGGACCAAGCAGCCACCCCAGTCCTGTTTTCCTCCGACTTTCTAAACTGACCCTAGTAAATTTTGCAAACTACAGGACGCCCTCCTCATGCCACCTCACGGGGGGAACGTAGACAAGCCCTTCCAGATGGAAAAAGGCACTGCCGTGGTGCGCAGGTCCTCCCTGGGGAGCCTGGGCGCGTCTGCTCGGAATCACCTAGGCTCTTCCTTAGGGTACCGCTCCTGCTCAGTCCATACTCGCTGTCGGGGCTCGGTTCCCATCCGGGAGCTGTGACTACACACTCAGCAAGTCAGTGTGATCAGGGAGCAGAGCCACGTGGCTGGTAACACTTCAGTTGACTAAAACCTAACCACCGGGCCAACCCATGGCATGGTGGTTCAGGTGACTGGATCCCACCTCAACCACCGACAGTGCAGTTAAGTCCAGACCCCATGGCTTGAAAAATACACTGGACATGTGTGTACGTGTGCCCACCCAAGAGCCCGAAAGGAGGGAGATGGAGAAGGGATGGCAGCATGACAGTTCTACACGGGGGTACTTTCTCACTGCCTCTCTCCAGCAAGCACACGTACCATGTGGTAAATTAAAAAAAAAAAATAGTGAAATTGCCTGGAGAATTCCTGTCTTAGAAACTGGAAAGTTGGTTACTTCTGGATTTTTTTAAAAAGCTATGCAATGTTTTGGGACCAGCAGTTGGCATAAAGGCTATGTTGCTGGACTCTCATGTAGTCAACCGCGGTTCGAGTCCCAGACGAAGTGGCTTAAACTCACGCCGGGCACGTGTGCGTGCGTGGTCCAAGATCCCGAGAGGAGAATGAAGGAGAAGGGATTGTGGCATGGCCATCCCCCTGCGGGGAGGGTGATTTCTTACTTTCTGTCTCTGTCTTTCTGGTGAGCGCACATGCCTTATAGCAAAAACCTCTCCAAAATAAAATAAAAACTATGCAATGTTTTATTAGTAATTAATTGTAAATAACCAGCAGTTCATCATCTTAGCTAAGCAGAAAACAGAAACAAAAAAACTCAGTTTGGATGATGCTGCATTTTGTACTCATCCCTTTAGACGTCATTCTTTCCTTTTTATTTAATGTTTAAATTCAATTTCTGGCCAATCCTATAATTCAGCGGCTACGGGAGCCAGATCCCACATGGCTGACCGCATTTCAAATTCTCACTCTGGCTGCTTGAAAAGCTTGCCAGGCCTAGGGGTGCATGTATGCCCCGATCCCAGCAGGTAGGAGGGATGGAGGAAAAGGACTGCGGTGTGATCATGGTCCTCCAGAGGGCGCTCTCCCCTCTCAGACGAGTCCATGCAGTCTGACAATAAACCTTAACTTTATTTATCTATTCCTTGGGAAGATTCAAAAAATGAAAATAGTACAAAATCCAAAAAATACGAATGAGCAAAAGGATATTTACTAAAGATGTACTTGCAGATTTGCCTGGAGATACTGTAAAAATATTTGTCCCAGTTTGTAGTATAAACAAAGATAACCTGTTCGGGGACAGAGTTGGCCTGCAGCTTTAGCACTATGAAACCACCCCACGGCGGACAAAGCAGAAGGGAGGCACATGCCGTCTGTCTAGCAGACTGCCATTCCTGTCGTCGAACAGGGACATTCGCCATTCGCACACCCACTCACACACGTGCTTTCGTTTACACGAGCTATCTCAAGGAGTTACCCAAAACGCTAACAGCATTACTTGCGTCCTGGCGCTCCGGGAGCAGGGTAAGAGGGTATTTTAAGGTACATCCTCTGTGTCTTTGTCACTAAACCAGAGTATCTCTGAGCAATCTGAATTTCCTCCATTTTTTGAACTGCTTGTTCATATCCTTCCTCTACTTTCCTTTTGGGCTGTTGGCATACTTCTTCGATTGCACTTACTCCTGCCGTCCGACTGAAAGTCTGTGCCCTTACCCAAGCTCACGCTACTCTCTATAGCCGCCCCAGCAGCCCCACCCCAGTAGCAGGCACCCCTTCCTCTGTGTTTATGAGTGCCATCTTGTTAGAGCTCACATATAACTGAGGTCGTGCAGTATTTGTCTCTCAGCGCCTGGCTCACTTCACTTAACGCGATGTCCTCTAGGTTAACCCATGGTGCTGCAAATGACAGTCATGCTGACTTTTTAATAGGAGTTTATGTATTTACTTATTTCGTGAGAGACAGAGATACAAGCACCCTCAACGGAGTGCCATGCCACGATCCTCCCGCCAGCCTGCCAGGGTCACAGGCACCATGTGTGCACCTTACCCGTCCAGGTCAACCTGGGAACCAACCCCATTCTTCCGTAAGGCCTCCAGAGTCAAAGAGTGTTGGTTACCATGGGTAGGCCACTCATACTGACTTGGAAGCCCGCTCTTTACTAATTTTTTAAAGAATTATTTATTTTATTTTATTTAGTATTATTTTAAAATTTGATATAGGGCATCTGCCCTTACCAGAGAGAGAGAGAGAGCACTAGAGAGAGTGAGCAAAAATGAAAGGCAACCCGTCAGGTCTGGTACTCGACATGTGGGCGGCCATGTGGGAGTCCAACACCTTAACCACATCGCCGGCTGGCCCCGAAGCCCTCTCTCTCATCTACAGAATAGTCTATCAGTTCTTGTAGAACTTTCCATTTTTATGGGGTCAAAGTTACCTATACGTCGATTCTTATTGTCTTACTTTTTTTGTTTTTGTAGTTTGCTATAGGGTGCATGTACTCACTGGAGAGACACATAAAGGGAGAGAGAAACAGAGAGGGAAAGTGAGAATTCACCTCTCAGGATTGGGGGCATGCAGAGACACATGCCCAGTGTGATTTTCAAGCTGCTGGGTCTGGGACTTGAACTGTGCAGTTGGTCATTGGGGATGGAGCCACCTTAACCTCTGTGCCACCTGCTGGCCCCTTATTTCCTTTTGTAAAACGTTTCTTTTCTTTTTTCAGATTTGCTAGAGGGTATGTGAGCTTGCCAGAGACAAGAGAAAGAAAGAAAAGGAAAGCGAGAAAGCATCGTACGTGCCGGGGTGGCCACACTGCAATCCCTTCTCCATTGCTTTTGGGGATTTCGGGCACACATGCACACACGCACACACGCACACACACACACACACACACACGGTGTGTTTTTGAAGCCACCAGGCCTGGGACTTGAATCACATGGCTGGCCATGCGGGGTCCAGCTGCCATGACCTTCATGCCACTGGCAGGCTCTACAGCTGACCCCTATTAATTGACAGTTCTGTCAGTGGTCCACTTACCTGCTCAAACGTAGTTGTGGCCCCCCAGCCAAACGCACACCATTCGCATGCTCATTCCCAGACATGCGCGCTCACAGAGCAGCACACAAGAACCCAACCTTCTCATTTCAGCCCGAATGCTGTAAACACATGTCCTTTTCACAGTCTATTTGGTGCCGTGTTTTTGTCCTTCCGTGTTTTGGTTGGTGATTGTAACATTTCTAATGCCACTCCTCCCCTCCCTATGCACACGCTTCAGTGCTGCCTAGTGTTCCTGAGAGTAAGGTCGTCCTGTCCCTAATGGACAAAAACACGCATTAGCCGAGCTTTGCTCAGGTGTGACTTACAACACCTTGGCTGCCAGCTCCGTGTTAATGACACAGAGTAAATCAGGTGTCTTTAACAGACACACACATGAAGCATGATTACAAAATGTGACCAGAGGCTCAAAGAAACCAACCCTGTATTTCCCTCAAGAACAAGGACCCACTCGCTCATTGTCTATGGTAACTACATAGTGATAGAATACAGGCACCATGATTAATGACACCCACTGTATTTCCTTTCATGATTCGGGGGTGTCACACACAGAGGTCTTTTGCCTCAGAACATTTTAAAATCTAGTTGTCATTTAGTCCTTTAATAATTTCATTCTTTTTACTTTTTTTTTTTTTTTTTGGAGAGATTTTCACTGTAGGGCGCGTGCGCTCGCCAGACAGACATAGAGAGACATAGAGACAGAAAGCGAGAAATCACCCCCCAGGGGGGATGGTCACGCCGCAATCCCCTCTCCTCCATTCTCCTCTCGGGATCTTGGGCACGCACGCACACGCGCCCGGCGTGAGTTTTAAGCCACCGGGTCCGGGACACGAACCGCGGTCGACTACGTGGGAATCCAGCGACACAGCCATTACGCTAACTGCTGGTTCCCAATAATTTCATTCTTTTACCCCTAAATCTTTGCTTCATTTAGGATTCATGTTGGAGTAAGGCGTGAAAAAGTACCCTCTTGTTTTATATGCTGTGTCCTCCAAGCCATTCAGTTAAGAGTTCCTTTTCCCCCTTTGTTTCGATTATGGGTGGTAAGAGTTCCAGACACAGCATCTTCTGAGACTAGATTTATATTTTTAAAATGTACATGATGGGGACCAGCAGTTAGTGTCATGGCTATGTCGCTGGACTCCCACATAGTCGACTGCGGTTCACGTCCCAAATCCGGTGTCTTAAAACTCACGCTGGGCGCCTGCACGTGCGTGCTCAAGATCCCGAGAGGAGAATGGAGGAGAAGGGACCGCGGCGTGGCCATCCCCCCTGGGGGGTGATTTCTCGCTTTCTGTCTCTCTGTCTTTCTCTGTCTGTCTGGCGAGTGCACGTGCCCTATGGCAAAAACCTCTCCAAAAAAAAAGTACACGGTGGAGATATTTTTCGAAGACTCCCAATTTCCCTGCACCCCTTCCCAGGCCCTGCACTGCCCAGGCCAGCTTCAGCAGTTCAGAAGCTCCAGCTCTCTGTTTCTCTCACTGGTTTCTTTGAGCAAATGTGAAACCGTAGGGAATTTGTAACTACAGACTTGAGATTTACTGGCACGGTCAGTATGCGATTGCTGGCAATAGGTAGGTGTGGCTCAAATGAAAATCCAACCACAGCTTACACCTTTATTTTATTTATGTTGTAAATATTTGTTCATTTCTTTCATGAGAGATGGAGAGAAGGAGAGAGAAACCAAGCTCCCTCAACAGAGTCTATGCCACCATCCTTCCCCAGCTTCCCCAGCCAGCCGAGGTCATGGGTGTGCAGACACTCAGCACGTACAGGCCAACTGGGGGATCGAGCCCCTTGTCTTCCGTGTAGATCCCGTGACACTTAAGCTGCGCATTACCAACACGTAATGTGGGGCTATAAACAGGCCCCGCGTCCTAACTCTTAGCCTTAGATCTCGTGGGCGGTCCTTTACCACTTCTCAGTCCAAAAGAGAAGGAGCCAACATCCTCCAGTCGAACCAGCGGGCGTTAAATACTGCCTAACTGGAGATACCCTGCAGTGAAAACACAGTCGCTGGAATTAAGGGCAAGGACCCATGAGATTAGTGAGAGGATACAGGACCCCCACCATCCCGTAATTGTGACCTGCTGGAGAAAGCTGAGGGCCGCTCACTGTGCCCACACTGCGAGAGCATTTTACAAAGGTGAATGCCTCCGATCGTAAAGTTCCTGATTCACAGCAGTCATCACCCTGATTCATCCACATTTTCAGATCAGTTTGACAAAGGTGTACCCCAAAGCCCTGAAGAGATCACCACCGTCTAAGGAAGGCCTGAGAACAATTTCTACCTGTTGACGGCGAATTTCTGCTACAAAGTGAACATTCTAAGTACTAGCATGCCAAAAACACAATTCCAGGCTTCTCCTTAGAGCAAAACCGGAAAAGCCGGGCGGGAGCTGCTTCACGGCAGCGCGGCCGGTTACCTATGTCAGCGACGAGGCTGCCCGGCCTCTGCTCCAGGAGGAACTGGCGCACGCGCGGCCAGGCCTTGCTCTGCAGGGCGCTGAAGTCCGAGGCGGTGCTCTCGTACACAGCGTGCACGTGCTGCTTCTCCAGCTGGGCGGCTTCCTGGTCCATCCTGGGAAACAGGGGCAAGCCAGAATGCGGGTCAGGGGACGCCGCACACTGCACACCGCGCGCAAGGCTGCCGGTCTCCCAGAACTGGGGCCACAGCCAGGACGGTGGTGCGGCGCTTACGCTTCCTTGCAGCTGCAGCTGCCGCATCGCTGCCCACAGACGCTGAGCTTGCCTTTGCTAATCTTCCCACGGCAGTGGGTGGGGGATGAGCGCACTATTCTAAGTCCCTGGGCAAGACCCAGCCTTACTTTTGGAAGCATAGTCAAATTTCTGAACAAATGGTTCCCTTTGGACAAGTGTGCTCTGTCTGATGCACAGTACGTTCTTTTTTTTTTTTTTTTTT